AAGGAGGTCGCCGAGGTGCTGCAGCAGGGCGCCGACGGCGCTGCCGACGACGCCGAGGCCGCAGCCTGGGCAAGGAGCTTACTCATGTTCAGGCCCAGCGAGCAGGAGCTCACGTGGCAAAGCTCGGGGGCGCACGCTGTGCGCCGCTCGGGGTTCACCCTGACGCATGCGTCCTACCTGACCTCCACGCTGTCGCAGGGCCAGACGCTGCGCAAGGGCGTCACCGTCGATTGCGCCAGGGATGAGGACGCTGGCCGCGCGGGCATGTCGGACGAGATGCGGCGGCTGCACCTCTACGTCATGTTCTCCCGCGCCACGTGCGTGGGGGACATGCTGATCCTGCGCCCGCCCGCGTGAGAGTTCCTGGAGCGCGGGCCGCCGGCGTCGCTGCGGAAGGCGCTCCAGGAGTTCGACAAGAGAGCGGTGGGCTCCAGGGCTGAGGCGGAGCAGCTCGCGGCAGAGCCGGGCTTCGTGCTGCCGCCCGCCTGAGCGCCACGGCGCGCGCCTGGAGGCCCGCGGGGTTGCCCCAGCGGCTGGCCCCCGCGCCCCTGCGGCCTGCGAGGTTGTCCCAACGGCCTGGCCCGAAGGGTTGCCCCGACGGCTTCGCGATCTGGCCGTCGGCAAACGCGCGCGCGCGCTGGCCGATGCGGCGACGGCGTCGAGTAAAATCGAGTTGCTTGCCACGACCAGGGGGAATGGGAGGTGCGCATGGAGAAGAGGCAGGAGGGCGAGGAGGGAAGGGCATGGGGGAGGGCGACGAGGAGGAGGAGGTGGCGCGAGAGGGGGAGGAGGAGGAGGAGGAGGAGGAGGAGGAGGAGGAAAAGGAGGAATATAAATATAAGGAGGAAGAGAGGGCAGTGCAGAGGGCGAGAGGAGAGGATGTCCGCCAGGGGGAGGAGGAAAGGGCAAAGGGTAAGCTAAACAGGTTTTCGTGCGGGGTCCCACCTTCGGAGTATTTTTCGCTCGCGTCCACCAGCGAAGGCGTTAGCGGAGTCAGGAGTTGGTGGGGATACGCGAAGCGTCAATAATCTTCATTGATGTCCGCACGGTTTTAGCATAGATTTTGGTATGTCGCACCGAAGCCTTACACCAGCATCGTGTCCTGGAACCCTGCTGGCAACAGGGCTCCAGGACACTATGCCAGCGACTTCGCGCCCTCACAAAGTACACGCGCTTTCCATCCACGTGCCAAGCAGGTGACGGAAAGAGCGAGGAACGAGTGGCGACGTTGAGTTGGGGCGAAGCCCCCGAGGGAGGGGTCCAAGGAGGGGGGGGGGCGGGGACATGGGTCTAAAAGCCTTCTCCCCCTCCCCCCAAGAGGCCCACAAGACGGCCCAATAGGCGGGCAGGACGGTCCAAAATACCCCCACGACGGTCCACGAGAGGTCCAAGACGGCTCCACGACGGCCCAAGAACGCTCCAAGAGACCCAAAGACCGTTCCAGACCGTTTCAAAATGGCTTAAGATGGCGTCAGGACGGCCCAAGAGGGCCCAAGAGGCCTCCAAGAGACTTCCCAATCGGGCCCAAACAGGCACACATCATTTTTTCTAAATGGTTTTTGAGGGTTGACGTAAAGAGCGAGGTAGAGTGATTACGTTGAGTTGGGGCGAAGCCCTCTGGGGAGGGGTCCAGGGGATGGAAGGAAGGGGGGGCCGGGGTCGGTTCTGACGAAGAATTTGTCGGTCGAGCAGTTGGCTTCAACGACGCAGGTTCTGGGCGGTGGGGGTGGCGCGGTGGGGGGCGTGGGTCGGTTCTGAGGTAGAAATTGTCGGATAGGGGAACAGGTTGCGGGCGGTGGCGGTGCCGGGGTACGGTGGGGGGCGTGGGTCGGCTCTGACACAAAAATTGTCGGGTAGGGGGCCCTGACAACACAGATCCCGACGAGTGCTTTGGGAGGGGTGCGGATGTCAGACGGCGTGCGGGGCGTGAATCGGTTCTGTCGCGTTGGGGGTCCCAACAACAGTGGTCCCAGAGGGTGAGGATGCTGGGGGAATCACTTGGTGTCAGGGAGGGGGCCTACAGTGCCTCTTTGGGAAGGATTCCTAGCACGCCTCTGGTGTCGGCGGATTGAGGATGTTGGCCTTTCGGGGCCCTCTTGGGAAGGGTCTTGGTGGCCTCTTGGGAGTGTTGGGCGCTTTTCCGGCCGACTAGTGGCCATGTTGGGCGTGCTGGACCGATCGTTCAGCGATTCGGGGCATTTTTTTTTTGCCATCTTGGGGCCCCCTTGGCCCGTCTTGGGGCCCTTGGGCCCGAAAAAGTCACGCGACACGACGCGATAAGCCCCAGCAGGCACGCGCCGAGTCCTGGGAGATTCGATGTGTGAATTTGGGGTCCGGGTTTTCAGGATTGAGGACTGCGGGAAGGGGCTGAAGCAAAGGAACTGAGGGCACTCCAAAGCCCGAGAACGACGAAAAACATGCAATAGTATTGCCGAGACCTTGTATCCTCGACCCTGCTAGAGGACGAGAACGTGGAGGAGGATGAGGAGGAGGAGGAGGAGGAGGGGCCAGCACATCTCTTTCCCCTGGCCAGTGGAGTCCCCCGAGGAAGTGGGTGAGTGGTGGGCCAGGTTGAAACACGTTTCGTTTGTTGTTGTTTTCCCCCATCCCAGTTCGAGCCTGGCTTGATAGGAGGTGATCAGTGATGACAGAGCCACTGGAAAAAAAGGAGGAGGAGACAGAGGAGGAGGTGGACGAGGACGAGGACGACGAGGAGGAGGAAGAGGAGGAAATGGACGAGGACGAGGAGGAGGACCAGTGCAAACCCAAGAGTCATCAACGATGTTGGAATACACCCTCCCTCCAAGCTCCTTCTTCATGGGCCCCTACAGCGGTTCATTTCCTTGAGGGAACTGCCTCTTTGGAAGACAACCGTTTGAAGACCCTGAAGCATGCCAAAACATTGTTCTCGGGATTCTAACGCCACGGATCAGCCTGACTGTTGCGTCTGGACACGCTAGAATCGTGCCAGATTGCTGGTCCTGGGACTTCAACATGGTTGTGGCACCCGCATATTCCTGAATCCTGGCACGTTGATGGTGGGAATCCGTGAGACTCTTGCACATTTTGTAGACGAATGTGCGCAGCGCTAAGGCGAGAGCCACATGTTGAAAAGGAACCGCTCTCAATCCGTAAAACTCTTGCAAATGTTCAAAGCTGAATGCGCGCCGCGCTATGGCGACAGCCACATTTTGAAAACGGCCCGCCCTCAATCCGAGAAGCTCTTGTAACTTTTGTAAACGAATGTGCGCAGCGCTAAGGCGAGAGCCACATTTTGAAAAAGAGCCGCTCTCAATCCGTGAAACTTTTGCAAATGTTCAAATGAAGAATGTGCGCCGCGCTAAGGCGAGAGCCACATTTTGCAAACGACCTTCCCTCATCCGTGAAGCTCTGTGCATTTTTTATAGCGAATGTGCGCCGCGCTAATGCGAAAGCCACAGTTTGAAAACCACGCGCCCTCAATCCGTGAAGCTCTTGCAATTTGTTAGAGCGAATGTGCGTCGCGCTAAGGCGAGAGCCACATTTTGAAAGCGACCCGCCCTCCATCTGTGAAGCTGTTGCCAACCTTGAAGTTTCAGGGTCAAAAATGGTGAGGAAGTCTCCGGCGAAATTCCGGCCCGCCCTAAAAATTAGCCTCTGGGTGCGACAGGGAGAAGTTATTTATAAGGAAAGGAATGGAGGAGAGGGGAAGGGGACGGGGAGGGTTAAAGGGGGGAGGAGGGAAGGGAGAGGAGGAGGAGGAAGTGGAGGAGGGGGAGGAGGCGGAAGAGGAAGGGAAGGGGAAGAGGAAGGGCAAGAGGAGCGGAGGAAGGGGAGCAAGAGGAGGAGGAGGAGGAAGAGGAGGAGGAGGAGGAGGAGGAGAAGGAAGAAGAAGAGGAAGAGGAGGAGGAGGAGGGAGGAGGAGGAGGCGGAAGGAGAAGAGGGGGAGGAGGAGGAGGAGGAGGAGGAGGAGGAGGAGGTGGAGGAGGAGGAGGAGGAGGAAGAGAAGTACAAGGAGGAGGAGGAGGAGGAGGAGGAGGAGGAGGAGGAGGAGGACGAGGGAGAGGCCTGCACCGCCCGCTCAATGGTGCCACGAGGCAGTCCCCCGGCATCAGCCTTTTATCCGAGCTGCCTGCCGGCATCTCCCCGGCCCCTCGGTGCCCCCCTTCGCGGCAGCGCCCTCGGCGGCTTTTGGCGGCCCTCGGCGGCGCCTTCTGCGGCCCTCGGCGGCTCTCGAAACGGGTAAGGAAAGCATGGGAACGACGAAGTCCGAGGACGAACTGGGGACGAAGGCCGACAGCAGAATGGATACGGTACGGGCACGGAAAGAAGGAGGACGAAGAATGTGAATTGGACTCGTTGTCGGCATGCATCGCCGCGGGCGTTGTCCATTTGAGGCAGGACGTCGCCTGCCCAACAGTGGCTCCTGCAGCTGCTTTCAGACAACGTTTGCTGTTGGGCCTTGTGCCCGTGCTGTCTGTACAGAAGCAGCGGCGGTGTCGTCGAAGTCGCGCTTACTGCCATAGTCTCTTGGGACTTGCGAGCGAGGAGATCGTTGAAGGCTGAACGGTGCACGCGTACTCTTCAGGCGAGTGGTAGTGGGGGGTTGGGGTGACCTAAGTGGGAGTGAAGAATGGGCCCCTTTATTAAATCACCCCGCATTGCCACCCGCACGATTGCCACACGCTCAGGTGCTCCCAGATTCAGGTTCCGTGGCAAGACGGCGACGGGCGATTTTGGTCCGTTTTCGGCCTTGAGGCCCTCACGGATGAGGGTCCCGCACAGAAGCGGGGTCGACGACTTCGGTCGTGGTTTCTGTCGTGCGCGGTTTTCCTCGTGGTGCCCTTGCGTCCTTGCGTTGTTTTTGCGCTTGGTCCCGACGACCATTCGGCAATGACGCGGGTGGGTTATGGTGCCCATGCGTCCCTGTGGTGTCTGCAGTCCGCCCCCCAAAACATGCCAGCTTCGGCGGCCAAGGCTCTTGCTTCCTCACCGCCCGTTCTTATCATAGATGTTGACTGATGTCTGCTTCTTTACGGCGTCTGATGTCGCGGGAGCTCCGCGGAGACGTGGCGCGCGGTGGCCTACTTGGTTCGCATCCTACGTCACCCCCAGGGGCTCGGACATAATCGCGCTTCGCGATGGGCGGCTTGGGTTGGAGAGGCGCCCTCCTCCAGGCGGCGGCGCGAGGGCGCGAAGATGACCGGGCGTCGCGCTCGCGGGGCGCGATGCGCGAAGTCAGGTGTCCATGCCTGCACCGTTGGCTCCCAGGACGAGTGCTGCTACGGCGATGCCCACAGCGACGCCTGCATCCTTCAATGCGTCCACAGCGATGCGCGAAGTCAGGTGACCCGGGAGACGTAGCGCGCGGTGGCCGTATTTGATGTGTGGCTTGGCGAGCCACGCCCGCGGGCAGGCGACTGGCGCGGCACGCGCTCTCGGCCCTGTGCGGGGGCCAGCGGACCAGGGGTGGCCACCGCACTGGTCATCACAGAGCTGGTTCCCAGGGGAGGAAAAGGTACCGATACCGCTACCCTTCGCCAGTTTTCGCCTACACACCGCCTCTTGGGAGGCCCTCCTGGATTCGTCTCGAAATCTGGGTCAGAAAACACCCTGGGAGAGGTCCGAGGAGTAGCGGTGTCGGTACCTTTTGGTTTCCCCAGGTGCAGTGTCCTCTTACGTTTGGGCCCGACCACTTGGTGCTGTTGGGCATATCCTTCTGGGTCTTCGATGCGGAGTGGCCATCGATCGTGTTTGGGCTCTCGTTGGCCGGTTGTGTCCACACCATTGCGAGACTCAAGGGAGACTCGGGTATCGTCAGCAAGGTTGCTATAGTTCTGATGGCAGCGGTCTACTCAGCAGTTGGCATCGTGTTGTATTGGAGATCCACTGCAAGATTCGGATCTCTCACCGTTGGCTTGCTACAGCTTGTTTCGGTACCTCAACGTTTTCACTGTCTGATAGCACTGCCGGTAGCACTCCACATGTTCCTGACCTGGTTCGACGCAGTTGTCAGTCTCAGCTGGTTGCTGAATGCGGCCATGGTGACGCTTTAAAATTACATGCTTCCCGTGGGATCAGAGAAGAAATGAAACGGAGGAAAGGCAGAGTAGAAGCTACATTGTCTGCATAGTTCCTTTTTTACTGCGACACTCTAGCATGCAGAAGCTGGCCGACCGGGAGATTGCTGGCAGTCGGGAATCAAGCAAGTGAGAAAGCAGCGAACCGTCGCAGATTCGAGAATCCATGATTCCGGCGCATCCAACTCCATTTCACTCAGTCTGTTTTCCACCCAGCTCGCCCGCCCGCCCCACCCCTCGCCGCCTCGCTCCACTCTACCACATTCCGCCCAACTCTACTCGACTCCACTCCTTTTTCCTCTGCCTGTCCCCTCCTCCTTCCCGTATACGTATCCTCTATGATTATTTATCTCTTCCTTCCCAGTTTCCTTCCTTTGGATGGAGAGCGATGAGAAGAGTTGGACGGTAAGAGGGTCGTCGCACCGTTTGGTGTCAGCCAGGCGAGGGAGCAGCGTACGCCAGGTGACGCGGACAGTTTGCTACGTCACTATGTTGTGGCACCTTGGCGACTCTTGGGTGATGGTAGGTTGGCTGGTGCACATGCGGCGGCTGATGCTGGAGACCAGGAGGCCTCTGGGGCGGGGTAACACGCCTGGCGCGGATGGCCTGAGTAAGTATCCAATCCAGCCTGCCGATGTCCGCGGACCTGCATGTGCTGGCAACACGAACGCGGTGTGAGTTTCAGGGTGCGGGTGGAGAAGGAGCATGATCATGATTACGATGAGAGCGGTGTTGACGTAAGGGCCCGCAGGAGGAGGTTTAATTTTTTAGCTGTTTTTGGGGTCTCCCATGTGTTCTGACTCCGGCTAGGCTTTGCGTGGCCGGATTCTTCCACACCTTTAAGTACTTTCTCGGCCTCCGGCCGAGGGCGGCAAGGCATCGTGAAGCCTGTCAGCCACATCATCCTCTACCCGCAGGAGGAGGGTGATCGCCGGGCTGGGGCCGGGGCCGGGGCCGGGTCCGGGCCAGGTCGGGTCGGGGGCCGGGCCCGGGGCCGGGCCGGAGCCGGGCCGTGGCCGTGGCCGGGCCGGGGCTGGGGCTGGGCCGGGGCCGGGCCTTGGCCGGGCCCCGGCCGGGCCACCTGAAGGAACGCTTCGGTTAGTAATAGTTTGCTGGAGTTATAGCTAGTTAGTGACTCGTTATAACTAGTTGCCGTGTCGGAGTTTTTGGAGTGACATGTTCGTTTTTTTGGCTTATACGGGAGTTTTCTTGGGAACGTGCAGTTTGGTTTTTTGGAGATTGCATGTTGTGTTCTTTGCATCTCCATGTTGTTTGTTGTAAAGTATGCGCTAACAGAACAATTTACGGTATTCCACTGGCCAAATGCACGTGATATGATCGCCAACTCTCTTGTAAACCGCTGGAGATTTCAACGAACTGAAGGGGATGAGAACGGGATCGCGGGCATCATCGATGACATACCTAAAAAAGTGTTCGCTCGCATGCACGTGCTTTGTAATCAGAATCTGAACTAAGCTCTGCGGCGGATCGCCGTCGCATTTCACGTGGAACCACACTTGGACTGCAACGTGGCCACGATCGCGACCCATCAAAACTATGTCACCACGTTTGATTTTCCCTCCATGTTCGGTGTGCGCTTCAATTGTCGAGACTGCTGCATGCGTGCCTGGCCGCAGCTGCTGCAAAACACTCAACAAACGTTTGCTTGCAGTTGTGGCGCACTCGAACTCGCACTCCAATGACAACCCGCGGATGTTCTGTAGATCATGCATGTGCTGAGCCCTGAGCTGGATCATTACAGCCTTCTCGGGCCTCGTCTTGCACAGGTGGTCCTTCGCAAATATTTTGACGTGTTTGTGTTTCCGCTCTTGGACAAACCATGATAAAGCACCATGCCTCTCAAACATATCAGCCAAGTGGATAGCCATGTGATGCTTATACACCCAATACTTGGAACCATATGCACGCTGGTGAAGCTCCAAATGTTTCAACACTGCTGACTCAACCTCGTCGCGCGTGCATGGCAATCGCCTCGACGCGCAGAGAATCACATCCACGGCGTCACATATCGCCAGCATGCTTGCTATCTGGCCTGCGACTGCATCGCATGATGGTGTACTGGCAATGACTTGCCTGATGTATAGAGCCAATGCGGGAATCGCAGATAGCTCTTGCGAGGCACTTGCCTGGAAGTCTCCCGTTTCCCAGACTGTTGCAGCAGAGTGGTGTTTGGATGGCCGTGTCCTTTTCATGAAGTAATCGTGGAGGTCGTCGGCGCTGCACAGTTTCTTGAAATCTTTGTGCTCTAGGAGGGCCCTGATTTCCCTATCAAAAATGCCACTAACGAAGTACACGTGCATCCGATCGAAGCAGAGGAATGTCATCACCAAGTATCTAAGAAACGGGTCCAGTGCGACATGCGTTGGATGGAAATTCCAACCTTTCACCTGCGTCACAGATGTGTACTGCGCGTCTGTGAGCTCGTCTCGCTGGTACCTCTCCCAATCAGGGCGCAACCTCTCCAAGATCGCGACGACTGTCGCGTCGGTGTTGTATACGAGTTTGCTTGTTTCAAGGCAGGTATCATCAACGTATGTCCCCGAACTGTCGAATTGCGTGTAGCCGAATTTCTTGTTAAGGACGTTCCTGCAAATTGCGCAGGGCTTAGAGCCAGCGTGCCCCTTGTTCATACGAAGCCCCCTCAATGCCTCCTCGTCTCCTATAACACACGCCAATCTCGCAACTATCGTTGCGTATGTTGTTGCGTCACCCAGCGCAGATACATCCAGCGTAACCCCCCGTTGTCTCAAAGTTAACGCCACCCGATCTATTAAAAAAGAGCTCGCTGAGCATCATGCGGATAGATTGCCTGATGCCCCCAGGCATATCTTTCACCTTGGCAACGCGCGCGGTGCTGAGGGTGAACCATATACCAGTACACAGCATCCATACCACGGTAGTCTTTGCCTTTCGCGAGAGGATCGCGTGGCGATATACCATCGAAATAAAGAATGATCTTCCAAGGCACAACTAAAGAACATGGGTGCTTTTGGAATTTGTGGCGCATCAATGACCTGAACGGCCCGCTTCTCTTGCATACGGCGTACAAGAACGCCCCTGGGTTACGCACCCAATTCTCAAACGTGCCCCCATCGTTATCGTCGCCAACAGGCATCTGCATGCCATTCAATATAAGGCCATATGTGTTACGATCATTGACCACATGTTTCTCATATGCCCTATATTGGGACCCCCGCGAGACAGCGTCTGGCAACCCATTGTCACGAACGTAAGTGAGCACGTGAGACAATGCTGCCTGGGAAACAGACGGGCCGCGGTGGACCTCAACCAATGCCCCGGAGTGTGTTCGGGACCGCTTCGGCCGCGGACCCGGCGCCATACCAGCCAAAATGCTTACGGACTGATGCGATATGCGATGACCGCAACGCAATCGACACGAGTGAGACAGGATGCGACGATCGCACCGTATTTGTTCTACACCACAGATGCACAAGCGAATCCATCGCTGCAACAACAAACAATGAGACGTGCTGGCCTACGACCGACCGTCGATGAACGCCAAGGCAGCGGACCACGCCTCCGCGCGCGAGCGCACGCCAGGGCCCCACTTGATCCTCTTGTCGCTCCGCCCCACTACGGAGCGATATACCTGCTTGTCGTTCTGGGTCATGACGTAGCCAGCCCTGTAGTGGAGGTTCCCCGCCTCCGCAGGCGGCGGCAGCACCTTCGGCTTCGCGACGTGGCTTGAGGGCCTCTTCGCGACGACCTTGCCCGTGCTATTGCCCGTGCTCTTGCTGCCCTTGCCGTGTCCCTTGCATGTGCTATGGCCTTTGTGCTTGTGTTTGATGCCCTTGCCCTTGCCATTGCCCGTGCTCTTCGGCTGCTCTGCATCCTCTGATGCATCTGCTTCGGCGGCGTCGGCGACCGCGTCGCCAGCCGCGGCGGGGCGCTTGCGCGCGGCCGTCGCCGCGGCCGCCGCCTTCGCCTTGGTGGCGAGCAGCTTGCGCAGGGCGGCCTCCTCGTCGCTCAGGTTGGCATCGGGCTCTTCGTCATCAACTGTTGGCTCGGCCGTCGCCGACTTGCCGAGCGTTGGCTCCTCGCGAGGCGGAAGCTTCGCCTTTGGTGGCTCCAGAGGGCAGCCCCCTGAAGATGCCCCTGTGTGCACCCCTGTAGACGCTCCTGCAGACCCAGCTGCATGTCCTCCATGGAGTGCCACATTGGCGAAGAGCGCCGCGGCCAACTGCCCCCCGAACATGTTCTGGCACATCTGCATCTGCCCACCAACCGTCACATCTGGCATCGCGGCCTTGGCGCGGGGGGGCGCGACGGGCTCAACGGTGGTAGTCTTCCTGATCTTGCTGGAAGACCCTCGCACGAACTCGGGCTCGTCGGCACCCATGTCCTCCATGCATGGGCCTTCGGCGTTGTCATGCGCCTCTCCCCACCATGCCTCGCTATGCATCTGGTCGATGGTGTCGTAATCCCAGATCGTCCTGCACCCGCGTTTGGCCCGCGCTTTCGCAGTGACAGCTGCGCCCAACTTCTTCTTCACATCCTTCAATAGTTTCATCCACGCATCTGCATTGTCACATTTCCCAACGGCATGTGCCACCACAGCCGCCACTCGCGCCTTACTTTTTCAGATAATGTATGCATGCCAATTAGCGCGGCACGGTTGACCACAATGTTTACACACGCCTTCTCTGATAAGCCCCCCCTTCAACTTAGCGAGCTCAGTCGCTGTGAGGCATTTAGAGAAGATGGTTACCTCCTGCCACTTCTTAGAAGTATGTCTTGTTAACTCCTGCCACTTGGCTTAGAGACCGCCGGTGTACCCCAGCAAGCCAGTCTTGTTACCAACGGCCGAACAAAGCTGGGCAAGCTCTCGCGAGCTCCGGTGTTCCAGCGCACGAATGGCATTCGCGAGGAGTGACGCGTCATCGGTGCTCAAGTTTCCCAGATTGCCAACTTTGAGGAGCAACTGGTCAAATTGGCACTTGGCCACTGCGGCGGGATCCAACCCACAGCTTATCTTAGTTTGCACCCATTCGTGCATATGGTTTAGCTCAGCGATAAGGTTTGGCACGGACGTCATCGCGTAGCAAACGCAAGTAGATGGCGCGACAGATTGCGACGTGGCAAGTGGATATCGCGAACGTCAGACTCGCGAGCCAAATGGGATACGGATAAGATGCCAACTGCAACATCACATGCAATTGCAGGGCGGCCCGGCCGCGGTGGGGGGTGCATTGGGGGGGCAACAATGGTGCAGCCCCCCACGCCGTCGCCAATCACCCTCATCCGCACATCCCCTCCCCTGCTTCGCTGTCGTCGTTGCCGCTCTGCGGCCAGACCGCAAACCACAAACGGGATCGTATGCAATCATGTGCATGATGTTAAATGCAACAGATGCAAGATAGTTCGACACACGACGCACGGCTTTACAGCTTGCATTTTATGCGCGGACTCGGGATCAGGCCACGCCCATGGACTTCGCATGCTCAAGCCATGCGACTGCGACGCTGTGCGACTCGATCGCAGCCTCACGGTCCAGAATTGAGTTCATCCACTCATCCTTCGCCTTGGGGAACGCGGCGTAGTCGACATCTGCCTGTTGAGGCTGCTGGGGGTCAGGGTGGGGGATGGCCGTTGTTATGGGGCGGGAACTTAATTCAATACGTTATTAACCACATGCATGCCTTCTTGGTCAGTGTTTTCACACGGGAGCGAGTCGACGCCACATCCTTGTTCGCAGCCTTGACAATCTCTTTCTTCTGGCGAACCCGCTCCTCACGCTCCTCCCTAATCTCATGACGAACCTGTGCCTCCATCGCCTTCTGCTTGGTGGACTTCACATTGCAACCAGAACAGTTTACGTGCAAGGGCCTGCGCGCGCACACACGCACACACACACACACGCACACTTGGGCCAATATGCTTACGAAAGGCTCGATCGCCGCCGTAGCGCCGCCCTATAGACCCCACTGGCGTGCAACCCCACATGTGCATGACGTTGCATTTTTGCACGCAGCGCCACAAGCGATACGATGAATGCGTTTGCACGCATGGGCTACCCTAGTAGCTACCCCGCTACCCTGTAGCTAACCCCGCAAAGCTGCTAGAGCGCACTACGCGACGCCAAGGGCCTTGCGGCCCCGTGCCCGCGTGAGGCCACCCACTGCAACGAGGCGATCAGTTGCACGAATGTGCTCATTCCTCCACACCTCTGCCTCCCGCAAAACCATGCGGAACACCTCCTCGGCGGCCTCCGCCTGTTTCATGGCTCGCTCCAGCTTCTTGAACGCCGCATCTACCTTTCGGGGAGGGGGCGATATGGCGTGAACACGACCCTACCAACCCACACCTGGAAAACATTCAAACCCTGTAACACACGAAGCGATTGGGGTGTCGAATCGAATCACAGCAACGCAATACAATTGATTCGTACACGTGTGTATCAACACACCTATACATGCAACGTATGCAAGTCAGTATAGTAGCTAACACTACTAAACATAAAGACTACATAACGAGCCCAACCTTCTTGTCGTTCTTCTTCGCCTGTGATTTAGTGTATTTCACGTGCCTGACGGTGGCCGTGAGCGCGGCGTTGAAGTCCGCCCTGTCCTCGCGACGGCGTTGGGCCCGCATTGCCTTGAGTTGGGCGGACATCGCAGGCATGATGTGCACAACGGCGCGCAGACGCCTCGCGTGAGAGAGACGCGCCTCGCGTACCACAACGGCTACGGCCGAGATGCATATTGCGACTTAGTCGCGCAATGCAATATCACATCATCCCCCCTCTCACATTCGCACCGCCGTCGGCGCCGGCGCCGTGGTTCGCCGCCGCCTCACGTCATCATCATCACCGTCACTGTCGTCATCGTCGGCATCCTCATCATCATCATCATCATCGTTCGTCGTCATCACCATCATACTCAGCATCGTAATCCGCCCATCTTCCCCACCGCAGCATTCGCCGTATGCCGCCCTAGGGATCCTTCCACAACATCAACGTTGATCGCCGTCCCTCCACCCGCCCTCTCATGCGTTGCACTAAGTTTGAACCACCTCCCGTGCCGCGCATCCTGTCCGTCCGCGCTCTCCTCGCCATCATTATCTCATGCTCCCACTCGTGGCCGTCGCCGTCGTCACCATCGCCGCCGTCGTCGCCGTCGTCGCGCTCCGACCCCCCTGGCCGCGGAGGGGGCGCGCGCAGGACGACGCCGCTCTGGAGGGGGTCGGCGCACGACGACGGCGACGACGACAACGGCGGTGACGAAGACGACGATGACGACGACGACGGCGACGGCGACGGCGACGAGGACGACGGCAACGGCAACGGCGACGGCGGCGGCGACGGCGGCGGCGACCACGAGGGCAATGCGACACACCACAACGAGAAAACGAGATGACACGGGGCGGGGGGGGGCACATGAGCTCGAGCGAACGAGGACCTGGATATCTGATAGCGTCGACTGAACATTGGGAATGGGACGAGGCGGTGGAGGAGAGCTGGTGACGATGGCGACGGTGGCGAAGGTGGTGGTGACGGTGGTGACCGACGACGACGAAGACCGATTGCGGTGGTGGCGATGACGATGCTGATGATGAGGCGATGAGGTGACGACGGGAAACGAGCGGCGGAAGATAGAAGCAACGAGGGAAGGACGATGGACGGATGATGAGCGAACGCTGGAGGACGACGATGGACGGGCGATGGGGGCAACAAAGGAGGGGCCATGGAGGACGGGCTGCGGGGGCGATAATGCGAGGATGATGCTGCACCTTTTTTCTGCGGCTCGTGGCCCCGTATCTGCGCGCGCGCCGTGGGGCCGATAACTACCATCGTGTCCATTTAAATTATCCACAACAGATGCACGCCTGTGGATTCTAGACAAGACGTCAACTACAGGAGCGGGAGGTGTATAATATCAACTGATCACGAACGACCCCAGATGCAAACCCGTCGACCGAAATTTCACCCCTGGAATGATCCAAGACCGCTCAAATCGTCGCCACCAGGACTCACCACCAGGAAACTGTGATCCGACCGCCCCGCTGTCGTATATGAGAAACTCATATACGACAACTTTGTCGTACATGAGAAACTCATATACGACAGCGATGTCGTCAACACTATCACACCGAGTTTGTCGTATATGAGTTTCTCATATACGACAGCGCTGTCGTACATGAGTTTCTCATATACGACAGCGCCGCCGTATATGAGAAAATCATACACGACACAGTTGTCGTATATGAGAAACTCATATACGACAACTGAGCCTCTGATCGCTTCAGAAGGAGAGAAGGGGGGAAACTGCTCTCGCAGTCGCGATTGCGAAGAGATCTGGAGGCAGCGCGTGAGCCTAGAATTAGCGATGCAGCATCTGCCGTGACCTTAGCTGTAGCCCTTGGCCGCCGTCGCGGCAGCCCAAAGCCGCCTGTGGCTGCAGCCCTTGGCCGCCGTCGTGGCAGCCCTTGGTCGTGGCAGCCCTTGCCGCCAGTCGCGGCAGCCCTTGCCGCCGTCGTGGCAGCCCGTGGCCACAGCTGTAGTAGCCACCGACGCGGCCTTTGCCACCGTCGCGGTAGCCGCTGTCCTACGACAGGTTAGCATCGCGCCACGCGCGCTGGGCCTCCCTCCACACGTGCGCGTGGAGCCTCTTGTTCCACACGATGTACTCCATCTGCTGATAGCCGTAGCCATCGAAGCCCTCGACCAGCTCTTTCACCGCCAGGGCCTTGGCGAGGCGGCTGTGATTGCCACCGCGCGGCCGCGGGACGTAGTAGTCGTCGTCGCCGCCTTTGTGGCCGCTGCCCTTGCCACCACCGTAGTAGCCCTTGTGGCCGCTGCCCTTGCCACCGTCGTAGTAGCCCTTGTGGTCGCTGCCCTTGTCGCCGTCGTGGCTGCTGTCGTGCTTGCCACCGTGCTTGGCACCGCTGTGGTAGTAGCCATCGTGCTTGGCACCGCTGTTGTAGTAGTCATCGCCCTTGCCACCGCTGTGGTAGTAGTGGTCGTCGCCCTCGCGCTCGTAGTAGCCATGGCGCTTGCATGGGCGCTTCTTCGGCTCTGGCTCATCACCGTCGTAGTCGCGGCCCTTGCCACCGTCGTAGGCGCTGTCCTTGCCGCCGATGTAGTAGCCCATATCGCTTTCCTTGCCACTGGTGCCCCTGCCACCGTCATAGGCGCTGCCCTTGCCACCATAGTAGTAGCCCGTGCCGCTGCCCCTGCCGCCGTCGTAGGCGCTGTCCTTGCCACCGCTGTAGTAGCCCATGTCGCTGCCCTTGCCACTGTCGTAGCCGCTGCCCTTGCCACCGTCGTGCGCGCTGCCCTTGCCACCGTCGTGGTAGCCCATGTCGCCGTAATCGTCGTGGCCTTGAACGAAGTGTTGCAGGCCGTGCATCTGGTTCATGATCGGGCTCATCGCGGGCGCCATGTCGAACATGTCGAGCAGCTGGTCCGCCGGGCACTGCCTCGCGCGCTCCGGCGGCGGGGCGGTCGGCGGCGGCAGCGGCCCGTAGTGCTTCGCCTCAGGCGGGACCGCAGGCTGCCGCGGCCCGAACTTCGACTTCGGCTTCAGCGGCGGCGGCGGCGCTGGCGGCCGCAGCGCTGGCTGCGGCTCGGCAGCACCGCCCCCGCGGCGGCGGCGGTTGAGGTCCTCCGCCGCGTCCAGGAGGAGCGCCACCGCAGCTTCGTCCATGGCGCTGTTGCTGCTGCGCGTGGTGCGATGCTGGTTGCGCGGGTGCTGCTGCGCGTGGTGCGCTGCTGGTTGCGCTGGTGGGGCTGCGCGTGGTGCAGCGCCGCACTGACGCGAAGGCCCAAACACTTGGGCCTGAAAAGTGGCAACGGATGAGGATATGGAGGTGAGGCTGCTGAGGATGGTCGATGCAATCGTATGCAACATGCGTGTGCTGCCCTATTTTTCTGCGCCGTGTAACCCCATGCGGTGTACCGCAACGCATGCGTGCTATACTAGCTGCATGCACCCCCTGATACAAAAGTGAAACACTATGGGCGGCCGACGGCAGACGACGGGCGACGGGCGACGGACGCCGACGACGGACGCCGACGACGACGACGACGACGGTGACGACTGAGGGGTTCACCGCCGTTTGTGCTCAATTCCGAGGCCCCATGCAGGGCCACGTCCCCCCGCGGCCCTCCCAGGGCCCATCGGGGGACATCCATGCGCCATGGATCCCAAGGTCCCTCGAGGACCATCTCGCGAGCCGCGGTGATGGCACCGCGTTCGACGAGAGGATCCTCGATGCCATCGCGAGGTCAGCGATTTCGGCGGCGCTCGCCGAGCTGAACGGGGAGCTTGGAATGAGAAAGGGGAACGGAGGGGATGAGAAGGGGTGGATGGATGGGGTTCATAGCACATGCCCCCCATAAGGAGTTGAAGCGCCAGTGCCAACGCGCAGACGACGCAGAGCGCGAGACGAAGAGGCTGAAGCTGGAGATGCACAGCGGCTGCAGCGGCCACAAGGGCGGTGACGACGACCACAAGGGCAGTGGCGACAGCAGCGGCCACAAGGGCGATGGCTACTACCACAGCGGTGGCAAGGGCAGCGACCACAAGGGCGTTGACTCCTACCACGACGGCGGCAAGGGCAGCGACATTGGTTACTACGACGGTGGCAAGGGCAGCGACGACGGCTACTACGACAGCGGCAAGGGCTACTACGACGGCGGCAAGGGCTTCGATGGCTACGACTATGGCAATGGCAGCAATGGCTACTACGACAGCGGCAAGCACGACAGCGGCAAGGGCAGCAATGGCTACTACGACGGTGGCAAGGGCAGCGATGGCTACTACGACTATGGCAAGGGCAGCACGGGCTACTACGACGGCGGCAAGGGCAGCGATCAGCAATGGCTACGACGGCAGCAGACGAAGTACATCGAGTGGAACAAGAAAAAAGTGTGCAGGGCGGCAACTATGACGGTGACAAGGGCAGCGGATACGACGGCGGCACGGGCTGCCACGACGGCGACAAGGGCTACCACGACGGCGGCAAGGGCTACCACGACGGCGGCAATGGCTACTACGACGGCGGCAAGGGCTGCAGCACCCACGACGGTGACACGCCCGCGGGCAGCGACGCGGGCTACTACGACGGTGGAGGCAGCGACTACGACGGTGGCAAGGGCGGCGCCTACGACTGTGGCAAGGACAGTGACAAGGGCATCGACGCCCGCAGTGACAAGAGTGCGGACGACAGCATCGTGAGCGCTGTCGCGAGCAAGGTCACTGGCGCTTCTGACTCAGATGTGATGGTGCACGATTCTGGCACTCCAGAATCTGATAGTTCGGACTGTGCTCGAGGAGCGATATAGAAAAGGGAGAGGGATGGGGATGAGAGGGGGGTCAGACGGTGAGCGAGCGAGCGCGTGCTAGTCGCGATCACTCGGCCGCGTTCTCTGGATCGACGCCGCGCGTAGGCGAATCTTCGCCAGGTTGGTCAGCAGGCGAACCGTCGCCATCATCATCGTCAACCATATCGTTCCCCTCGGTGGCAGGTGTGATGTTGTCCCGAAGACTTTGTGCAGCTTGAGCGATGTATACTGGTTCCCAATCATCGACTTTAGATTGCACCCGTTGCGGCATGCCGTCTGTACCACGTATCGTCATGAACACTGTCTTGCGACGCTTGTCGCAAAATAC